ATATATATATATATATATATATATGTGTGTGTGTGTGTGTGTGTAGATATATAAATACATATATCTATATATGTATATATGTGTATATGTGTGTATATGTATATGTATATATCGCCCATATCTCCCACACACTTCCTCCCAGAAGTTTCCCCTGGCACCCCAAAAATGGATTAAGTTCTCCTCTTCTCCTCTATGCCCTTGGGTTCCCTTGGTTATGGCACTCCGTCTGTCTGCTTCTTAGTATTTCACCTGTCTGTGGCCTTCCTCTAGCAAAGACTGCATGTCATTCCTTGGGGCCTACTGTGTGGCCAGCACCCCACTGGTATTCTGATTGCACATGTAAAAAAGAGGGTACATGTTCAGGGTGTAGTGACACACACACCTTTAATCCCAGCATTCAGGAGGCAGAGGCAGGTGAATCTTTTGAGGCCAGCCTGGTCTACATAGTGAGTTCCAGGCCAGCCAGAGCTACAGAGAGACCCTATATCCGAAAAAAAAAAAAAAAAAAAAAAAGGAAGGGGCAGGACTGGTAGAGAAAATTGAGGAATGGGGTTTAAAAAGTATCTCAATCACCTGCCCCAGAACAATGCCCCCTTGTCCCAGAACACACTCAAGATCAATGCCTCAGAGGGAACCCAGTCAGGCACACACATGGTTAATGCACAGAACTTCCTCTGGCTGGTTCAAAGATGCTTGCCCTTCCCTGCTCCATTCCTTTTAAAAAGAGCAAGAGGATATGGGGGCCCTTCCTCACCAGCATCTACCCAACGTGCCCTGTTGGGGCTACTAGGAAACCAGCCTTCTTCTCTAAGTCACAGCTTAAGGAGAACTGCCTATTCTGGCATGGGAATGAAATCTCCCTTCATTTGAGCTTTTGGACCTTCAGTCCCTAGAGAATTGACTAATGGTCAGGAGATGGCAAGAATTGCTGGGCAGGCATGGCCAAAGTTAGGGGAAAGTTCACATTTCTGACCCTGAAAAATAATTTAAGATGCATCCATATAGAATGCTTGCCTAGCATGTTAGAAGCCCTGGCTCTGTCCCCAGTACCACTAGAAAAGGGGAGGGGTCATAGATCCCACTGAAGGAACAGTTAGAAGGCAGTTATCACCGAAGACTGGGACAGAGGTATTGGTAACCCTAACACTCGGGGCACATCCTTGTCCCTAACCTGCACCCTTTCTTTACTTTTCTGAGAGAGGACTAGGGAAGGTATAGTTTCAGCTCAAGATAAAAATCAGTTGTTTGGAAAATGCACCCACTGGTAAAGGTACAGTATAATCACAGCAGATGTGCCCAAATGGAAATTAATCAGCAATTCACATAGTTGGAGAAAAAAACAAAAATGCTGGCATAGGGTAGGAGCTGCCTGGATTCAGCAGTGCAGAAACAAGTGATTCAGACAATCCAAGAAGCACAGCTGACTCTGAGGTAGGCTCAGGCAGACTGGTAGCATCTCACCAGCCAAACTGTTATGTTTGGAGTATATTTGGTTTGGATAAATATGATGGAAGTTATTTCAACACCGTGGTTTAATATCTGATCTGGGAAGATGAGCAAAAATCTTATTGATGGTGTGAAACGGTAACATCAGTTTTTTAAATTATGATGTTATTCTTGTAACCTAAAAGTCATATGCATGTTAATCATTTTTCTTTCTAATTCAGACAAACACAGTACAGTAGTAATGTCTTAGGGTATCCAGAGGCCAGATTTCTTAAGAAGCTTTATGACAACTTGAGGAACAGAGCAGAGTGAGTGGACAGGAATGTAACTGGCCTTTGGAGAATAATTAATGGGAAGTAAAACAATCTCAAACCTCAATATTAGTGTGATTTTTTTTCAGGTAAGACTAGGAGTTTGTGTAAGTCTCACCTTAGTCTTAGGTGTCTGAAAAGTTAGAGCTTACAGCTAACTTTGCTAACACAATCACTCAGAAAATCTGAATGCAAAATTCCTTCATATATTCTAAGAGACCCTCTCTGAGTTGCCTTGCCAGCAGGCCTAACCTTGTCTCCTCAGAAGTGCTAACTTTTTTCGTCAATATTTAAACCAGTATTTCCCATGCCAGGGATTGAACCCAGGGCATGCACATGATAAGGCAAGCAGTTTATCACTGAACTACATCCCTAATGCTCTTTTTACTTTTCATTTTGAGGCAGGGTCTTAAGTTGCCCAAACTGGCCTTGAACTCACACTGATTCCCAAGCTGGTCTAGAACTTGAGATCTTCTTGACTCAGCCCCCAAGTAGCTGGAATAACAGGCCTGTGCCAGCAGGCCCAGCCCAGCAAGCCTGCTCTTTTCAAAGTATTTTGTCACCATTAGAAAGGGTATTTAAACAACTAGCTGTAGTGAAGGGAGAGACTGGGGCCTCAGAGGGACACTGCTGATGTAATCATTTCGTCCTTACAATACCCAATGAAAAGGCTGCCGCCAGGGAGGCAAACTCAATTATGAGTACATTTGACCAGTTTATTCTAGTATAAAACAGTTAATAATTTATAGACAGTAAGATGATTATCTCTCTTGCAGAAGTGAAATTTCAAAAGGGAAAAATGAGTGCAGGATTAAGAAGCAATTTTAAAAAGTGAGAAATGTGACAAGCAGCAAAAAAAAATCATTTTTAGAGGAGAAAAAAGTAAACGGTGCTTAGAGGCCACACCTTGTGACTCCTGGGCCTACAGGGCTGTCACTCCAGCAGCCGGGGTAGTCTCTAGAGGGAAGGCCGGCAGAAAGGAACAGCAGCCTGGCCAAGCAGCTTCTCGGAGCTGGAAGCCTGGCTCTTGCAAACAAATCTCCCAGAGTCCTCTGGCCAAACATAGCACCAGAGGAAACGAAAACAACAATAACAAAAAAAACAATTTGCGCAGGGAACAATGCGATGGAGTTTCGCTTTGGTTTCACACTCAAGCATTGATGTGATTGTAATTTTAGACACTCACTCATAAAAGGCGAGTGTGGAGGCAGAGGCTTTTAAAGCTGGATGCATAGATGAGCCGGCTACTGCTCTCCAGCGTGCGGTAGGCTACACAAAAGTCGTGGGAAACGAAGATACAGATGTTTCCAGGCAAATGGCCCAGAGCCGTTCTGCCTCAACCATCACAGTCTCCAAACAACCAGATACATATCCAAGCGATTCCCGTGTACATGTGTGGGGGGCTCTGAACTGCGTGGAGTGCGCGCGTCCACCCCTCCTGCCCCGACCCACTCGCGTGCCCGGCTGCTAAGCGCCTCCACGATGAGGGTTCAAATCTCGCTGGACCCTGGGCACCCTCACCCTGTCATAGTGCGAGCAAAGCCTCGGTCCTTCCCTGAGGCAGGGAGGACTCTCCTAAGTCTCCCATACCCAGCCCATAACAAAGGAGGTTCCGTAATGGGTGCGTGATGGCAGCTCACAGGGACCAACAGCCGAGACCCGCCCGAAGAGTGCACCTGGCCGTAGCCCCCGCGACCGCCGAGGGACAGGCGGGCTGACGACGCCGGGCACCGGACAAAGAGGCCTCGCGGGGCGACCGGGGGCGCAGGGCGGGAGGCCGAGGAGCTGAGCCCGGGGACTCACCTTCGCAGCGGCCCGGCTGCGCTCCTCGTGGAGCAGAAGGGCTGTGAGCAGCAGCAGGAGCCAGACGCTGAGCCGGGGCCCCATGGTGGCGCGCCCTAGGCGGCGGGGGATGAAGGGGGACGGCGGGGAACAGCGGCCCGGCTCGCCGGGGCCGCGGCGGGCAGCTTAAGTCTCGGAGGGCCGGGGTGTGAGCCCTGCACACCGTCCCGGGTGCGGCGGCTCTGAGACGAGACCTGAGCGCGCGGCCCGAGGAGCTCCCCAATTTGTTGGCGCTGCCCCCTCCCCTCGGCAGTGCGCGGGCGGCGTCTCCAAGGGGAGGACCCTGCGGCGCTGGTAAGAGGCGGAGGGAGCGCGCAGCTCCGGACTTGGTGTCGCTGTGAGCCGGGACGCCAGGGCTCTGCGCTCTGCACCCTGCGGCTCCCGCGCGCCGATTCCCCGCGTCCCTGCGCTCGCCAACCGGGGTGGAGAACCGCCAAGGGAAACCAGGGCCGGGAGGCCGGCGCCGGGAGAACGGATCTAGGCGGGCTCTTCTGCAGGGGCCCATGCGCGCCGGCGGCAGCTTCTGACGCGGGACCCTGAGGTGAGAGCGACCCCCCCGGAGGTGCGGAGACCCAGGCCCTAGGACTCGGACTTGGGGTGCTGGGGCAGCCAGGGACAGCAGGCTCTTCTGGTTCGGAGTGGGAAGGAGATGGGGAAACCCGGGGATTGCGCTACTTGGGCTGAGCAGCTCCAGCCAGGGCCTACGGAAAAGGGGCCCCCTTTTCCATCTCCTGATGGGATGAGCCTCTGGTCACTCCACAAGGAAGCCGGGGACCGCACCGCAAAGTCGGAGAACTGCGGCGAGGATGCTGTTTGTCACCCTCGCTTACCCGCTTTGTCTCTGACCTCCAGGCTTGAAGGGGACTGAGCTGAGAGCTGAGCGACCCGGAGCATGGCCAGTGAACGGTGCGCGGCGTCCGGCCCTGCCCTGCGAGGGTAAGCCACCTTCTGCCTAGTCCCCTGGGCGCAGGGGGCCTTGCATGCACCTTTCAGGAGCTGACAAGTCGGGCCCGCACCTTCACGTGGCTCTCCCTCCTTCCCTCTCCCGTGCAGGTGGCTGCTGCTGGGGGCCGTGACAGTGGGGTTCCTCGCTCAGAGCGTCTCGGCGGTAAGTCCCCCTTGGGCTTCACGCCTACCTGGGGATTGGAACTCTGGCGGGGTGTCTGGGAAGGCAGGCACTCAGAGGCCACCTGAGTTTGTGTGTGTTTGCGCGTGTGTGTGCGCGGGCGCGTGTGTTCGCCAGCCGCGCATCTCTTGCCCTGCTGGCGTCGGCTCTCTCACAGGAGCTAATAATTAAAACGTAGCCTCCGGCACCGTTTGCTGCCAAGCTTCTGCCTTAGCAGCTAGGGAGGAGGAATGTCAGTCACTAGGCCCAGAGGCCCTAGGATGAAGAGGGTGGGGAACGAAGAGTTTTCTAAAACTCTGCTACTGTCGGGACACTGCTTTAGGGCGGAGAGTGTTGCTAGCTTAAAAGCAAAGCTAGGGTTGGAAGGGGCGGGGCGAGGAAACTGAGACAACCTCCAGATTTAAACTTTTGGAGGAACAATGGAAAAGAAACTGCGTTTCTCCCCAATCTTGGCCAGGCCCAGAAGAGCCATCCACTGTCCTGAGAGAGAGAGTAGCCAGCCAGGCACCTGGCATTTTCTGCCTTTTCACTACACCCCACAGCCTCCTGCTCTTTCTCTGGCCAAGGTTGGCCTCACAGCCTTTGAACTTGAGTGATTGCTATGGGGGATTCCACACATGTTAAAATGTAGCCACAGTCTTTATAGAGCTCTGTGTAGCGTGTTGGGGGGGCAGTGTTGAAAGGAGGCTTGAAAATTAAGGGCATTGACCAAGTGTCCAGTCCACCCGTTTACCTGTCTGGTGGAATGCCTGGCTGTGGGCACCTGACCACTCCACCTGTGTAGAGCCAGCACACACTGTGGGAACGGGGTCTGCTCAGGTTTCCTTCACCCCCACCTCACCTAGCTGAAACCCACAGGGATTCTTTGGTTGACACTGAGTGGGAATTGCTCCTGCTCTGCTCGGGCCCAGGGCTCAGAGTGGGAAGAAGGGGAGGCTGTGGCCAAAGTCTTAAAAGCTTGAATCTGTCTCCTTCCTGTACACAGTTGTGACTTAAGATGAGGCAGCCTAGATTTTTGAACTGACCCAATTACCTGTGGCTCTTCATGCATGACTCCCACTTGGTCCTCCAGATCAGTAGACCACAGTGCATACTCAAACTAAAGGTTCCTAGAAAGTAGCAAGCAGTGGCTGGCTCCCACACTCCTGGCCCCAGAACCAAATACATATATGAATATCTTCATTCCTGAGAATGAGGACCTCACTGAGGGTCATTGTAAAAATCCCTGAAAGCCTCTTTTGGAGAGGCATTATACACAGCTCTGCCCTCATGACCTCAAGCCTCAGTTTCCACAATTCACAGCAGGGAATATCAGCTTGTCACAGAGGCCAAGTGCCCTGGACATACAATACAGCTCCATGCCTCCAAATCCTCTCCCAGGCTGCAAATTCACCCCAAAATCTTTAACCCTCTGACTTGGTTAGGACCAAAGCATGTACTGCTCAGCAAAACCAAACTGCCTGGAAAGACCTGGTAAAAATTCAGACCCCTGTCCCCCGCTCAGGCCTTCTGGCAAGACTTTCTGAGGTTACTACCTGGAACTCTGCACTTCCACACCATGGAAAAACTTGCGAACCCTGAGCTGTACTGTTGAGCTGAGAGGCAACAGCTGAGGTCATGTGCCAATTTATTTCATTCTCTGGGCTTTAGATTCTAAATCTACAAATACAGTATGTAGGCAAATACCATGGTTGCTTTGTCACAGCTGTGTGAATGTGTACCTCTGGAAAAATACGCAATTAGTTATGTTCAACAATGCATCCATCAAAGAGGGGTTTCTCCTTGACCACTAACTTTCCCAACTAGTACCTGTGAGATAATTCCTCTATCCTGTGCTGTGTTCATTCAGTTCTTACTGGAGACCGGCCCTACACCCTTCCCTCTTTGTCTGCCTGACTAGGAATCCTATTTCTTTGTCTTTGGTATCAGAAATCTTCTTAGGGTGGGTCAGTTCTGTAAATAGGACCACCAGTGATATCTTGTGGAGTTTTGTGCAGAAATAGCTAAGCATAGATAGTGAAAAGATCAGGTAATTATTTAATGAGTGCTTCTTGTGTACCAATTTGTGCATATTAGTACATCAAAGCCTCCTGGGAAAATACACCTGGGGCAGGTAACTTTTAGTAGCCCCATTTTACAGGTGAGAAAAAAAGAGACCCAAAATATAAATAACATGCCTGAGGTGTCCCTCTTGTTAGTGACTAAAGGGGGGGGTGGGAGCCAGGGACCCTGACACTATACCCATCCTCCTGGATTCCTAGGCCAGCAGGGAGGGTGCTTCTAAATTTTTTCTTTGGGTCCCTCACATGGGATTTCTCCTCGTCTTGACCTTGGGGTAACAGTAAAGGTCACATTGATTCCTAGGAAGGGAAGAGTCTTCCTCTGCTACTCTGGAGGCCAGGAGCACAAAGAAAGGGAAAGAAGGAAACAGGACACACGCCGCCATCACCACCCACAGCTCAGGACCCAGTGTGAACCCAGGTGCTCTGCCTGTGCAGTTAGGGTCACTCACTGTCATCTACATAGCCATTTCTGAAGGACTCCAAACTTAAATGCAAGAGTTGGGGAGACTAGTTCACATGCAATTGCCCATCCTGAGAGGGAGGCTGAGAGGCAGAGGGGCACCATTACCAGATGCCTCCATGGCAGGCTGCCTGGGTACCACTGTCAACTGGACAAGTGGCTATAGCCTACTACAGGCATTCATCTCTGAATCACAGAGACTTGGGGAATAGGGTTCACCTCACAGGGCTGTGAAAGGAGCAGACAGGTCCAGAGAGTCAGGAGGACTTTACGTTCCCACTTCCCTGGAGCTCTGCTTGGCACAAAACCTGGACCCCTAAGACAGGGAAGTCACCGTGGGATCTCTGTTGATAGAACAGAACTGAAAGCATTTCCAGCCCTCTGGATTCTTGGTAGTCATTCTCTCTGGGTCACTCTGATGGTTTGGCCACAGTGCATAATAGCAGATTCATCCTCAGCATCTCATCCTTAGAGGTGGGTAGGAAATGTGAGCAGGAAATCAAAAACAGGAAAACAGGCTCCAGCCCTGTGCAGGGAATATATTTAGAACCAGAAAGGGGGAAAGTTTAAAATTCAAGGACAAAATTCTAGAGCAGAAAAAAAAAATATTTTTCTGGTAGAATAAAAATCAAAGGGCTGTAATTGAGCATCTGAGAAAGAAGGAAAATGGGTGTTCAGCTTAATTTGGGGAGCTCTGCAGTGAGATGCTATTTTTCAATTAAGTGATGATGTAATAAGATGCTACTGGAAACTTGCAGCTTGGGGCTTCAGCTCTTTGCTCTGTAGGAGTTTCTGTGACCAGGGAATTTTAGAGAAAGCTCTGTAGTTGGCATCTCGCTTTCTATTGCTGATACTATTGGCTGGTGCTCACTGCAAAGGTGACAGGTGGCATTGGGCACCAGCCTGGGCTGCTTTGCCTTGTGAACCAAGCAGTTGTTGCCACCTTAGCTGCACAGTGGCCTCAGTGGTCTCTGCTAAGCTATCAGTTGGCTGCTTAAGCTCAGGGCGAGTGGGGGCTGCTGCGAGAAGGTGGCTGCAAAGCCTCGTGTTGCTGCGTTGGTTCCTGCACTGCCCTTGCTTGACCCACTCAAGCCAGGCTAGGCAGAACCGGGCTGTGGCCCATGCTGTGCACCTCTGCCAGGCCCTGCAGTACATTGCAGCCCTGAGGGTGAGCTGATACCCACTAGGAATGCCTGGGCTCACTACCTTGCAACCTAACATGAACATGAACCTGAGGCCTTTGCTATTATGGTGTTGAGAAACTTCTGGAACCCAGTAAAGAAATGGTGAACATTAAAGTGAGAAAAGACAGGTTATTGTATGGTTACCTGGGCCTTTCTTCTCTGGTGGCCAGTCCCTGCAACTAACAACAATGTCTCAGGACTGTGACTTTTGAGCTCATTGATTTTCCCAGGGAACAATGATTGTGTGTGCATGTGTGTGTGTGTGTGTGTGTGTGTGTGTGTGTGTGTGTGTCTGTGTGTCTGTGTGTGTGTGTGGCTTGTTTACATGATCCATGAAAGAGGCAGGTGGTGTCTCATCTTAGATTCTGGGTTTCTCCAGTCCTGTGGGTGTGGTCAGAGGGTGAATTTCAAAGGAAGGTAAAGAGTCAGGGCCCTGAATCTGAAGTGGAGCAGGCTAGTCTCCGTATCCCTGCCTCCTGGTTAGATTCCAATCTTCAGACCTGCTTGCTAAGGCATGGTCTCTTGCTCAGCATGAGGCTGCTTTTGAAGCCATGAGCTTTCCTGCAAATTCCACCCTCTAAATGCAGTATGCCACCCAGGTATGGATCCTGAAACAGAAAACCCACCTTAGTGGAAAACCTGGCAAAAGTCTAATAGAGTCTATAGTGAATGTGCTAGTGTTAATCTCTTAATTTTGATAAACATGTAAATGTTCTGAATGGTGTTAACACCTTGTCTTGTTAAAGATAGTGACCTGTACTATCTTTGCAACTTTTCTGCCAGCATCAACTATTTAAGAATCATGGAAACTCTTAAGAGTCTTGAAGAGACAGATTCTCCTGTTATGTACTAAGCAGAGGAAAACACTGTGCTGCTTCTTCCTTCGGTAAAAGTCTCTCTGCTGACTAAGAAATATGGCAGAGGTGGCCCTATGCCTTAAAGTGATTTGTCCCCTGGTCTGGGTGGAGGTCTGCTCTCCCAGGAGACCCTGCAGGGGTGATGAAGTAGAATACACATAGCTTTTGCTCCTTGTCACCTGTCCTGAGATTCTCCCATGATCAGTGTCCTTTGTGTGTAATGATTGACTGATCACTGCCTCCCCAAGGAGCTGGAGGATGGGGTCTCGTGGCTAGAGGACATAGGCAGGTTTAGAGGATTAGGAATTTCCACCCCACCCCCACCCTCTGAGAGAGGCGCCTGGAAACTAAGGGATCAACAAAGACCAAGAAATTCATCCCATCATGCAGAGAAAGTGAAGCGCCCATGAAATCGTGC